AGATACCCAAGGGAAGTCAAAATCTGCTATGGCATAAAAGATTTTGACCTTAAAATAAGAATTAGTCCACCCATTCATGGGTCAGGTTTAAAATAGGTAACATATACAACATATTCAAGTCAAATGAAAAGAGACAGAGTACTCACAGGAGCGATGACGTTTTACACAACCACTGTGGATAAAATCCACTATAGATTAAGAGAGAAAAAGACAAAATAGATAAGTAAACTAATGAAATGATAACAGTAGTGGGACTGTGTTTTTTCTTTTTGGCTTATTGATATTTTCTAAATTTTTATAATCAATATTTTACTTTTATAGGAATAAAAACACTATTTTAAAAAAAAATTACAATGCACTGGTTACTATTATGTACATTTTAAGGAAAGCACTTTCATGTTATATTTTAAAATACATTCCTACCATTGTTTTTAATATCCACTACAAATTTAATCTGTGATCTGAATCATTTATAGACAGTATCTCATAGACTATAAAGACCTTTAGAATGAAGACAAAAATAATTTCAAAACAGGTATGATTTAATAGTCAAATATATTTGTGTATTAGCTAGAAAGTCTGAGGTAACATACAAAAAGCAAAACAGAATTTAAGTATTAGGCCATCTTCTTTGGAATATAAAATTTTAGAATATAAATATCTGTTACTTAAAGCTAGACACATTTTTATTCATATAACTCTCCTTTCCCTATACCTTCTAGGAAATGTTCCAACACAGGATCTTATTTTCCCATCTTACTCCAATTCCTCCTAACTCCACTCTCAGTGCTTTGTTTCTAGCAAATAAAGTAAAAAGTAAAAATTCTGAAAGACTGGCGGAAGAAGTTTTAAAATAAGAGACCTTAAGGGGTTAACTGTGTGACTGACTAGAAAAATCTTCCTCTGGGATTTCTCCAACAGAATCCTCCTGGGGCAATAGGGAGACAAGCATTAGGGAAGGAAAGGAACAGAGAAGTGGATTTTGTTTCTGGGTTGGTGGTTGAGGTTTCTGAATTTATCCTGCAGAGTAATTTAATAAATGGTCCCTATTCCAATAATAAAATACTTGCTTAGAAAAAACTGGAATTATGTGAGTATAAAGCATATTCATTTACCCTATAATACTTGATAAAAATACAAGCTACAAAACAGATTCAGAGTAGAAGCTCATCTTATGAAGTGACCTCATTTCATTTACATACAAATAAAATATGTACACAGACAAATGACTGGAAAAATATACACCAAAATATTAACAGGATATATTTTGTTTCTATTGTCTTATTATCAATTTTCTAAATTTGACACTAACTACATATTACCCTTATGAGGAAAAACACTATTTTTAAAAGAAAATATGCATTCTACTGCAAACTGTGAGAAACAGTAACTGGGGACACAATATAACAAAAACATAGTCACAACGCTAAATTAAGAGGCAATTTAATCCCTAAGATTATTTTAGTGAAGAAAATGTGTATTTTCTAGACCCTCTTCCACCTAGAGCTGAATTCATTTTTAAAAGATATAAAAGTAACATATCAAGATTGACTTTGTAGAGGAATGATTCTACATGAAAAAAATGTTTCCCTGAGTAGCTGAACCTTTTAAAACATAAAGAAATGTGCCACGGATCCCATTAATAGATTCATGTGAACCATTACAATGTCTGGCACATAGTAAGTATGCAAACATTTTTGATGAAAGAGTATCCTGAGTTCATATACAGAACCAGATACATTTCTATTTGAGAGGCAGACAGCCACAAATTACTAAACCAGGTGTACAGGAGAAGAGATGGTGTTGCTGGAACTGTAATGAATAGAAATGACCTAAGAGACCAAAAAGGTACGCTTTTGGGTCCCTGCGATGGCCAGCAACTTTGTGCTATGAACACTGCAGCATCCAGACAGGAAAGTCTGATCCAGAGAGTGACATTCACACCCACACAGAAAAACTGAAGAGAGGAAATGTTCTTCTGCAGCAGCTAGAATGAGAGTAGTTGATCCCTTCTCAGGCAGAAACTACCACTGAAAAGGTTATGTCACTCATGTGGTTTACCACCCAAGAGGACAAATATTTAGTGTTAAATCATTGATAATACTTTGTTTTCTCTTCAGATCATATAAATCTTTCACCTTTTAAAAACAAAAAGAAAATAGTATCAAAATACTTTAGTAACTGGATAGCCCAGAAACAAATAATAAACACAGAAAATGCTAAAGTGGAATCCCTATTAATATCTTTTTTTTTTTTTAAAAAAGGTTTATTTATTTATTTATTTATTTATACAAGCACTGGGTACAGTCAGAAGCGCGGGAGGGTGAGAGAATTCACCAGAGCCAGAGCAGGGAGCAGAGCAGGCAGAAGGACTGAAGTACACTGCTGAGGGGAGCAGCGGGCGGCAGGAGAGGTCTGCGCGCCATGTGGGACCCTCCTCCGGTGGCCAGGGAGCAGCCGGGGATCGAACCAGCACTACAGAGGCTGCGGGCAGCTTCACAACCCAGCGTTCAACTGCTGAGCCACCAGGGGGGCCCTCCCTATTAATATCTTTAAGTTACTTTTTTTCATGCAAGTGTTAGAGTTTTAAACTTTCATTATTGCAACTAGTCACTTACACAATTCCATTTCTTTAAAAATCTTATACGTTCACCTTGCTATAATCAGATTGATCACTGTTTGATCAACTAGAAAAATGAAAATATGTAACTTTTAAAGGTTCCTCAACTAGTTGTTTTCACAGGTACCTGTTTCAGTCATCAGTCCATAAGAATTGTATGTTAAAATTCCCACTGGGCTTATAAGAGTCAATATATCACACAGAAATCAGTGAGAAGGACTTATTTTGGACACATTTCCCTACCAACCAAATTAGGTGCCCATTGTAATTGCCATTAAAGAGAACGATTCTCAAGAAAAACAAGACTAACTTCTTAGAAGTTAAGTCGAGGAACTATCAAAGCACAGACATTTTTATGGAACAAACAATAAATTCAATCTTAGACCAAATGTAGAAAGTATTTCAGGCCTGAAAAATCTTTAATTGTGCTAATTTATTTTCCTTAAATACCCTATTTTCTGACACAGAATCTCAACTGAAAAGTGTATTTTCTAATCAATGCTTTTGTCACAAATTAAACTCAGTGAAGAACACATTAAGACCCTGGAAGCACTATTCCCATCTCAGAGATGAGCAAAATATCAAGAAAGGAAGTCACTGACCCAAGGTCGCACAACTACAAAGTGCTGAAATTGGCACTAGAATACCAGTTCTTCCATAAACCAAAACCCACTTTACTACTTCTATCCCATGTTGCCTGCACAAAAACCAGAAAGACAAAATAACAGTACCAACATTGAGTGCATTAAATGATAGTTAATACTTGCAAAGGAAATGTTTGATTGTTGAACCTATAGAACTTTTAGGACAAGAAATATGTAAGTACAGTACATCTTCACTTAACATCTGATAGGTTCTTGGAAACTGTGACTTTAAGCAAAATGACATATAAAGAAATCAGGTTCTCAAATAACATTTCATTCAAAGTCAGATTGTTTTAAGGAAACCATGCTGAACAAAACAAAGTTATTCAAGGATCTACTGTAAATTAAATATATTAAAAGTATCCTGTGGAGGGGGAAGTGATATGGGAAAGATCAGATATAAAGTTACCAAGAAAGAAACATTTCAATGTATATATTTTCACACCCACTGTATTATTTTAAAATTAAATAAAAATTTTCAGATTGGGGGGGCATTTGGGGTTTGCAGAAAGGATGAGCTATACTTTAAAAGAGCTATGATTTAAGGTTTATCTTCAGGATAATTTTCATATTTCCAATCGGAATTCTGAAGTTCAAGCCCATCTCAGAAGATTTTCTAAATTTTGAGAACATGAACAATTTAGATGACTGGGGTCATTATGGTGAGTTTTAAAGTTTTTTTTCATGGTGTTTTAAAGTTTATTAACTTTAATATAAGTGCCTGAGCCTGATTTTTAGCAAGGTCAGAGAAGGAATGTGTGAAAAAAAAGGAAGGAAGGAGGGCAGGCAGGTAGACGAAGCAAAACTGTCAGCATTTTCTCACACTGAATGTCAACAATATTCAAGGTGCTGTCTCATAAAGGCGGGGTTCTCCCAACACAGAATTTCCTCCCAAAGCTTGGGAGACGGAATATCTCTGCTGCAGAAAGGAAATTTTGAGTCCCCTGGGTACCATCCTTGAATCTGGGGATTCCATGGAAAATAGACCAAGGTAGTTGTTTTCAAAATGGTCCCTGGATCACCAAAATGGGAATAACCTAAAAAGATGGTTACAATGCCGATTCCAGGCTCCACCCAAGATACTGAATGCACATTTCTGGAGTAGGGACTACAAATCCGCGTTTTTAAAAAGTCACAGGAGGAATTACGCGCAGAGACTTTGGACACAACTGGACTGGAAAGTGAGAAAAAGCACAAGTGGGTGGTTTTGGAGTCATACAAACTTGGTTTTAAATACCAGTTCTCCCATTGAATAGCTCTGACTGCATGTAGCAAGTCACCCAATTCCTCTGAACCTCAGTTTTCTCATACAGAAAACAGAATGACACTTTCTTTGGTGGGGAGACCAGATAAAATTATATGTGCAAACGTACATGTACATATGTTGGCACTAAATTTTTATGCAGTCAGTCATACTTCGCTTAAGGAAGGGGATAGATTCTAGTTCAAGAAAGGTGGCTGTCAGGCGATTTTCTCCTTGTGCATACATCACGAGAGTGTAATTACAGAAGCCTGCTTGGTAAAGCCTAGTACAGACCCGACTACACAGTTGGTAAAGCCTAGTCCTGGGAATCTATATGCAACACCATCCCACATGACCCCCAGACTCTTAACACTTAGACGGCCTCTCAAATCCTTGCAACACCCAGTGAGTAAACGCTTGTCCTAGGCCCTGACCATACCCACCTGTCACAGCATTATCCACCTGTCTCTTCCCCTAAGGCAGCGTTTCTCACCTTTCTCCCGCTCCTTTCTCCCAAGGAGCCTGTTTAGTTACTTGCGCACAGCCCCCTGAAGATGCTGGGACGGGTGGGAATCCCCAGCTCCTGCGACACCCTCTCAACGCCAGGGGCAGACCGGGCACCCGCTTCACGCCGCGCCGGGGCAAGCCCTACCCGCTGCGGGACCCGGGCGCGGCGCCCAGGCCGGCAGCACGGCCTCCCGGCGCCGCAGCATCCCCGCGCGGGCGCCGTCCCGGGAGAGGCCGCCGCACGAAAGGCGCAGGACGGGCTCCCCCGCAGAGCCGCACGCGGGCGCCGGCCCCGGCCCGCCCGCCCGCCCGCCCGGCTTCCCGGCGCTGGCCCGCTGACGCCGGGTCAGGTGCGGACGTTGCCGGGCCAGGCTGCTCGCGGGTCCGCAGCCCGCGGCGCCCACGCACGTCCCCTCCCGCCAGCGAGGCCCCCGCGCCCGAGCCCCGGGCGTTTAAACTCTCTTCCCGCGTCCGCATCCCACCCCCGCCGGCCCCCGCGGCCGGGCCGGGCCCCCGCCCACAGCCTCCCGCCCACGGACCCCCACCCACAGCCCCCACCGATCACTCACCGGCGCCCGCGCTCGGACTGAGGATTTGCTCCCTGCGGCCGCTGGCCGCCCTCGGCCCCGCCCAGCCGGCCCGCCTCCGCCCCCGCCGCCCAATCACAGCTGAGCGCCGCCGCACGTGACGCACACGGGCCAATGGGAGTCCGGAGCTAACCGTGACGCCACCGGGGTCTCCTTGCGCTTTCAAAGCGGGCGGCGCGAGGGGGCGTGGGGCAAGGGAGGGATGCGCGGGAGAGAGCGGGGGGCCTTGAGGGCGCTAGAGGTGGGGAGGGGCGCGAGGGCCGGGGGCTGGGGTGCTGCGAGGGGCCGGGCGGGCGTTGAGGAAGGATGAGGGAGGGGCGCCTGGGAGGTTAGAGGCCTGCAGAGGTGTGGCGGTGGCCCGTGTCGTCCCGGCTGCGGGAAACCAGAGGTGGCCGCAGAGGAAAAGGGGGGACAGGCCGTGGAAGGAGATCTGACACCCTCAGCTTTGGCCAGCCTCTCTCTCCCCCACGTCCCCCTCGCTTCTCCAGCAAAAGAGGCAGACTCGGATTTCCCGCCTGTCCCTCACAAATGCCATGCTGGTCCTGGCAGCCCCTCCCCTTCTGGTTCCCGGGACCCCCCTTGGAATGTGAGTGCTGGAGTTAGTGTCAGGCCCAGCCTGGCCATCAGCCTCCTATCTGTTCTGCTAACAGACCTGTTGGGTTCGCCAGCCTATAATAAAGCTCCCCCATTCCCCAAATCCTGAAACCTTAAGGCTTTTTATTTTTAGTTTCCTCTCTTGGAAAATGTTATGTATTCTGGGGAGCCAAACGCATCCTCTGTTCTAACCTCACAGCTTGACTTTCATACACAAATGTGCCTCCTGGACCAAAATGGTAGTTGTAGTTCCAGCCATCAGATCTTTACTTTACAAAAGGCCTTTCCATGTTTCTGGACTTCGGATACTGTTCAAAACAAACCAAACCTAAAACCGCAGCCTTTTCAGAAGCCCACCCAGCAATTTGTACCCTCATCACTATATGCTTTGTGTATATACTTTCCAACACTGACATAATTTTAAAGCTGGCATGAATTAAACTTTGTCAATGTAAAGGTGAAAATTGTATCTCACTATTTTAAATTGTGTATCTCTTATTGGCAGGGCCAGTTTAAAATATTTGTTGGACATTGTGTTTTGTGATTGTCTTCTCATGACTTTTTCCCACTTTGCAGTTGTAAAAGCACTTGTATATTCAGTGGTTTTTTTGTGTGAATTGCAAATAATTTGCTGAGGGAAAATAAAAGTTTTTCTGAAGTCAGTTCTATTGGTGATTTCTTAATGCTTTGCCTTTGATGTCATACTTGGAAATGCTTTCTGGGGCCTCCCTGGTGGCACAAGTGGTTAAGACACAACCTATGAAGCTGTCCACAGCCTCTACAGCTTGTGTTCGATCCCCTGGCTGGCCAGGGAGCAACCCACATGGCACAGCAGACCTCTCCTGTCTCACCTGCTGCTCTCCTCAGCAGTGTGCTTCAGTCAGCCTGCCTGTTCTGTTCCCCACTCTGTCTCTGGTGAACCCTCTCACCTCCCACACCTCTGACCTGTACCCCAATTCTTTTATGCATAAATAAATACAACTTTAAAAGAAAAAAGAAAAAAAATGCTTTCCCTACCTCAAAAGGGCAAAAATTTTCATTAACAAATGTGGTGCTGGGAAAACTGGACAGACACATGTAAAAGAAGGAAGTTGGATCACTTTCTAACTCGCTGCACAAAAATTAATTCAAAATGGATTAAAGACTTGGATATAAGGCCACAATAAAATACTCAGGAGAAAGCATTGGCAATGGAATATCATTAATAACAAAGTTATCTTTGGAGATTCAACCCCTAGACAAGGGAAATAAAATCAATAATAGACATACTGGAACTATATCAAATTTAAAAAGCTCCTACACAGAGAATGAAAATATTAGCAGATTAAAAAGATATCCTACCAAATTGGAGAAGATGTTCATACAAGCGATGAGGGGTTAATACAAAAAACTCATCCCACTTAATGAAGGAAAGAAAACAACCCAATTAATAAATGGGTAATATATCTTAAAAGACAATTTCCCAAAGAAGACACACAGAAAACCAACATATATATATATATATATATATATATATATATATATATATATAAATGCTCATTTTCACTTTTAGTAAGGGAAATGCAAAACCACAATGAGATATCATCTGCACTTCTGAGAATGGCGTACATCAAAAAAAATCTAACAAGAGTTGGAGAGGATGTGGGAAAAGAGGAAACTTACTACATTGTTGGTGGGAACATAAATTGGTGAAGCCATTTTGAAAATAATGGACTTATCTTTAAAAACTAATGTGAAAATACCACATGATCCAACAATCCCATGTTTGGGTATCTATCCAAAAGAATACAAAACTATTAATTAAAAAAAAACTATATGTCACACAAATACGCTGAGCTATTTATAACAGTTAGGATATGGAAGCAACCTAAGTGCCCACTGATATAGGACTGGATAAAGAGGATGTGTGTATCCACACATTGGAATACTATTCAGCTATAAAGAAAGATGAAATGCTACCATTTACAGCAAAATGGAAGAAACTCAAGGAGTTATCCAAAGCAAAGTAAGCCAGAAAGATAAAGACAAATGCTGGATGATTTCACATATGTCAAGTAAAATAAGGAAGCAATGTAGATAAACTGGTAAGACAAAATAATTTATTTATTTATTTATTTTTTTTTTTAGAGGCATGTTCCATTTATTTATTTGTCTGCTTGTTTGTTTGTTTTGTTTATACATGCACTGGGTACAGTCAGAAGCGCGGGAGGGTGAGAGAATTCACCAGAGCCAGAGCGGGGAGCAGAGCAGGCAGAAGGACCGAAGTACACTGCTGAGGGGAGCAGCGGGCGGCAGGAGAGGTCTGCGCACCATGTGGGACCCTCCTCTGGTGGCCGGGGAGCAGCCGGGGATCGAACCGGCGCCGCAGAGGCCGCGGGCAGCCTCGCAACCCAGCGCTCAACCGCTGCGCCACCGGGGAGGCCCTAATTTATTTTTTTTAATTTAAATTTTATTTTTATATTCCCCATACAATTACAACCCCCTTATTTTGACCCCAATCCCTCCTTTCCCTGCCCCCCACACCCCCATAGAGTGTCTCTGGTTCATGGTTGTTTGTTGATTTTGATATTTTCTTTCTTATAGTTATTCTTTTTCCTGGTCCCTTATTTAAGTTTTCTAGATTCCTGCTATGAGTGAGACCATCCGGTATTTTTCTTTTTCTTTCTGGCTTATTTCACTGAGCATGGTCCCTTCCAGCTCCATCCATGTTGCTGCAAATTGTATGTGTTTATGTTTTTTGAATGCTGAGTAATATTCCATGGTGTATATGTACCACATCTTCTTGATCCAGTCATCTATTTTTGGGCATTTGGGTTGTTTCCAAAGCTTAGCTATTGTAAATAGTTCTGCTATAAGCATAGGGGTGCAGGTGTTCTTTGGAATTGATGTTTCTGTGTCCTTTGGGTAAATACCTAGGAGTGGAATTGCTGGATCATATGGAAGCTCTATGGTTAGTAGGTCCAGAAATCTCCACACAGCTCTCCATAGTGGTTGGACCAGTTTGCACTCCCACCAACAGTGCAGGAGAGTTCCTTTTTCTCCACAACCACGCCAACATTTGTTGTTGCTAGTTTTTTTAATATGTGCCATTCTCATTGGTGTAAGATGGTATCTCATGGTAGTTTTGATTTGCATTTCCCTGATTACAAGTGATGTTGAACATTTTTTCATATGCCTGTTGGCCATTGCATTTCCTCTTCAGAGACATTTCTTTTTAGCTCTTCTGCCCACTTTTTGACTGGATTATTTTCTTTGTTGTAGTTGAGTCTCATCAGCTCTTTGTAGATTTTTGTGATCAGTCCTTTATCGTTAGTGTTGTGTGCAAAAATGTTCTCCCAGTCGGTGGGGTTTCTCTTTGTTTTGGTTATTGTCTCTTTTGCTGTGCAGAAGCTCTTTAATTTGATGTAGTCCCAGCTGTTTATCTTTGCTTTCACTATCACTGCTTTGGGTGATGTGTCTGTAAAGATGTCTTTGATGTACATATCATGTAGTGTTTCACCTATATTTCCTTCTATGTATTTTATGGTTTCAGGTCTTGTGTCTAGTTCTTTAATCCATTTTGAGTTGGTTTTTGTGCATGGTGTTAGGCAGTAGTCAAGCTTCATTATTTTGCATGTAGCGACCCAGTTTTCCCAGCACCATTTGTTGAACAAACTTTCTTTGCTCCAATGCATATTCTTTGCTCCTTTGTCAAAGATTAGTTGACCATAAATCTGTGGGTTTATTTCTGGATTTTCTATTCGATTCCATTGGTCTGTGTGTCTGTTCTTGTTCCAATACCATGCAGTTTTGATGATTATGACTTTGTAGTATAGTTTGAAGTCTAGGAGTGTGATGCCTCCATTCCCCTCTTTTTTTTTTTTTTTCAGGAGAGCTTTGGCTATTTGGGGTTTTTGGTGATTCCATATGAATTTCATCAATAATTGTTCTATTTCTTTGAAGAATGACATTGAAATTTT